AATGTATATATATATATAATTTGTCAGTAACCGTAGACCATAGTACACTTACGCAATTCGTGTGCAGTGGCATTTACCACTAGGAAGATTGATCGGTCTGAGAAGTATGAAAAAAATAATTGTTAAACCGGTATAAATGAGTACTTGATGTGTCAATCATTGTAATTTGTTGTTTTTTACATTAAATACGCGAACATACATGGCACATTTAATGTAGTCATGCTAAAAATTAAAATGATATATTTTTTATTTTTAAATTATGAACGGATAAAAAACGTTTATTATTTACACTGAAAATATGTGTAACGATATTGAATACCAACTAATCAATACCGATAATATTCGAAATTACGCTAAGTATTTAAAAATAAAATTCAATAAAAATAATACTATTAAGGTAATATCAAAATAGGAATCAAACGTAATGAAATGCCGGTAAAAATACGAAAATTAATTCAAATAACACATGCCCATTCCAAATCTACACTAAGTACAGCATTATTATAAACTCACAACCAAATATGAATATTAAGAAAAATTCAATATCAACCATATAACATGATTTGCAAATATTATTACGTTAAAGCTCTAGGGAAGGACGATGCGTAACTGAACTTATTTTTATAGAATGGAACGTGCAAAATTACGCAAGCAATAAGATTTTTGTACGGTATATTATTTTGCATATTTTGGTACCGATATTGAACCTTTTATACTTACCTAGTAATCGATAATGGTCGGAGGTGCGAGCAGTTATTATTTTAATTCGAACAATTAGTTCGGAAAATTATAATTACATCATAATATACATTTATACGAGTTGGATTGCACTACCACCACTTGGCGGCGGTGTAAATGACAAACGATTCGTATTTTATTATGTACCCACGCAACACAATATTATAATATTGACACGCAGTTAAAAGCGTTCCTGATCATAATTTTGGAGAAAACCGGTTGGATGTAAACGTGTATGCATACGTTTATACTTATATACATCTTACAACCCGTGAAACGAGATTTATTTAAATCCATTGGTCCTGTCACCGGATTGGACGTTTCGGCAAAATCGCTAACCACGGATCAGGCGCAGATCCAGAGTAATTATTAGGGGAGGGGGGTATTTTATATTGTGGACATAATATAATATATAAAATTTGATAATTATATAATGTTATAAGTATTACCATTTACCATAAATATTTCTTAACTCAGTAAAAGAATAAACTTTCAACTAAAAGTTTAAAAAAAAATATGTAGGGACATTGTAAAGAGAACTTTTTATTTAAGAACAATAAAAAAAAATATTAAATATGAAATTAAATTAAAAATTATAGAGCGAAAACTAATTTTCTTGTGGATTTTGAAAACATGTCGATGTCCATGTGGAACAAAAGTCCGCGGCGTGGTGTTGAAAATTAAGGCTGTCGAAGTTCCCGGACTTCTGCCGCTGACCATTTTGAAAATCGCAATTTCAACAGGAACGGGAATCTGGATCCTGTAACACACATGAACACCTCCATCGAGTTATACACGTTGTGCAACAGAGCGAACCACAAAGTTACATAAAGTTATACCAGGTCGTAATAATAATACAGCGAAATCGCAATAACGTACTTGACGATTCTAACCTCATATTGTTTAACAAAAATATAGCTGTCGTGATGATAAGCTCGAACCAGCAGTGTGCCGGCCCATCGGCAATCGGTTTTTCTGAAATGACCGACTGTTACCGTCGTCGTTTTTTCATTCCATATTTTGCTGTCGTGTGAATGTGATCTACCGGCATCCGTCGCGACAAACATACAGCTCGTCGAACCCAGCCACTTTTAACGCTTGCGTGAATCTTTTCTTCCAACGTCCGTTGTTTTGTCATCGCCTATTTAATCGTTGTGCGGGATCATGAACAAGGCTATCTGTACCTCCGTCACGCCAACCTATTTCGATTAGTTTTCGGTCAAGTTTTCGTGGTATTTTGCCATAGTTGGTATAATTAGCATGTACAGCGAATTCGATAAGCGCACGTATATGAATATAATGAATAATGTAAAATTGTAAAATTTTAAAAATGTTTGTATTATTATATTTTTTCGGCCCATTTTATCACCACAGTTTTGTTGGAACAATAGTCGTCACCTAAAAGTTATTTGTTGTCACTGTGAACCCTATAGAACTATAGATTCTTATTTTTGAACACCTGTATAAGCGATCGGTTTTGAACGTCGATAAAGACTTTCGAGTAATTTTCGCGCACTCCAATGAAAACTCCGTCGTCGTTATTTATTGAACCGGTCGGGGTCTAGTCGGGTCGACCGCACAATTATTGTTTCGCCTACGAATGGCCGCATCTGTCTCGTTTCGCGGGCACGTGTGGTGCGAAAACCTTCTGTTGAGCCGTAAAAAGCCACGTGCGGGTGTACAGTCGACACTACGAATCCCAAATCCGTCGTACGTAATCGGGGTACACAGTGAACGGGTTGATTGCCGTGGGAATATTGTGGACACCGTGTGGGTGTCTCCGAAATACATATCGAACAAAATATGTTGTGCACTCCATAAGAAATTAGATTATTGCATGAATTCGTGTTAATATCGGATGAATATAATTTACAATACTCGAGCGCTAACATAACGTGTTATACGTATTATAATCACTAATCTTTTTCTTCTTCCATAATTGTTGTTGCACTGGATGTTTTACTGACAAACTTTTTGTGGAACATTGAAAACGTTATGAAACAACGGAATATACTTCAGAACGATCGACGATTAAAAACTACCCTTAGCGTTGCTATTCCGCGTTGTAAAGTCGTGGAAAATTTCAATATCAGGCTCGACAACGTTGTACGTAATGAATTCGTATTTCGTTCCAGTACACTGGTCGAAAACACTAAAAACCTACAAATCGAAATTCGTATATGTACGTCCGCGGTTTCAATCACTCGCGTGATTAATACAATTATATGTTCATGGCGTTACGCACGCATGTCGTCACGCATTCGGAATTTTCGGTGAAAACCTATCTAAACTGAATTGCGTTACCGATACGTCGTGTTGTGATGCGCTGCAGCCGTCGTTCGTGTATCGCCGACTCGGTCGGCCGGGGAATTATGTTAATTACTTTTTTTTGGGGTTGTTCTCTACACGCCATAACCATGTGGCGATACGCCGCGAACGACCAATCGACAAGCTCTTTTTTAATGGCCAAACGCGTAACACGAGTTCACTCAGGTGTACTACCGTTCGGGACGAAAAAAACAATTCGATATCCAAAAAACGGTTTGCTTGTGTTACAAAACGACGATAAGACGGAATTACGTCAAGTAAAATAATAATTATAATAATATGATTATCACTGTTATAATGTAGTAGCGACGTCGTGTTGTACTCACGTATCATTCGAAACCAGTTTTTTACTCAGTTGCGCGTGATACAACAATAATTGATAACCCATAAGTTAGAAAAAAATATATTGTACGTATCGGATACATAATTTTATTGTAGAAATACTAATAAAATACAGTGGACCGAGGAATCACGATTAAATTCAATTAGTTACATGTGTTGTCTCTTTTTTTTTCTGCACAAGGCATTCGATGCCGTTGTAATAGAATGAAACATCACGGAATCCGTAGGTATTTTTTTTTTTCGAAAATCGTATTGTTGTTAATCGACTGTACTGGTCAAATAATATCGGCCGTACATTACGTGCAATACGTACAGCGCAATGGTAATCCACTAGAATTCGGCACTGGAACACGTCGGTTTTCAACAAGACGTAGACATCTATGAAAACACCATAAATCGTACCTAATTCGCAGGAACGGAAAATAATAACACTATTGTATTGTTATATTCCCCGATTAAACGGATTGTGGTAAAAAATTCGTGTTCTCTCGACTGAAACAGTTTTTTTTTTTTTTTAATGTTCAAAACAGCTTCGGGCTTTTCGTTTTTAGTTCTTCGCGATATTCTGCGCATACCCGTACCCGTAATATCACACCGTTCGATTTCTTTACGAGCCGTGTACACCACTTAATACTCACAAACCGTTTGTTCCGACTCGTAAGTGTCTCTCTAAAACATTAAAACTAGAAAATAATGACCTATATGTTTTTATGTAATGACGTGGTGGTACCTAGACGGATTCGATGATGTAGACGACTTCTTTCACGTCGAATTCGAAACACTCCGTGCACGGTTTATGATCGTTATTATAGTACCTATGTATAGGCGGACGTTCGAACAATTGATGTGCCCGACGCGTAAAAACGATTTTTTCCCGTTTGAACGAGCGCCCGCGCGAATATAATATTTTAATTATGTTATTACGCGCCCAGTAATATAGTAGTAATAATAATGATAATAATAACCACGACAATAGTGTATAGCATAACAGATCGAATTATTCGTAAAAAAAGAAAAAGAAAAACTCTTTAAATTTCTGTGCGTTCCGTTGCCGTTGAATGAAAGCCAAACAACGCCCCTGATGTAAACATTATTCTTTAAACAATGTGTGCCGACGTCTTTTGTGCTCCGACGACGGCGCACTGTAGGTACACGCTTGGTTCACATGAGTGAATCCCTCTAACCCTTTCGACAATATCCGCGTAAGCACTGTGTTCTTGTGTTCGGCATTACCATGGAGAAAACGCGATTAAGGAACACGATATATTATTTATTATTCATCATCATCGTTATTACCCCGTGGCTGCAGCGGTCTAATCTACCGAATATACGCATTATTACAATGTACCTTACACACGCGCGCGCGCGCAGTGAATGTCTGGAGTGGAAGAATGATAAGAGGTGTACATTAAATACGTTGAAGCATAAACGCTTTCAAACCCAAAACACTGATACGCGTTTAAACACAAATAAAATTTATTTTTATATCACTTATAATTTTTATTTGTATAACATATATACATATACATATATATATATATATATATATATATATATATATATATATATATATATATATATATTTGAATCGATAAATTTTTACAATATTGGCCTTTGACAAATAATGTATACATGGGTACACACGTTAAATGATTTCAATAATTTACTACACACAAAACCGAAAGCGTACAGGCCTCTATACATACGCTTTCAGAATTATTATAAATTCTTTAAAGTAATACAAGATTGTACAAATTAGTCTACCTGTAAACGAATGGAAGATTACAGTTCATTAAAATTGTTTTAAAGTTCTTTTGATTGTATATGGGATATACGTTCCCACAATATATGTGCACAATAATAAGTATAATAATAATAATGATAATAATAATGATAATAATAATAATGATAATAATAATAAACATGTGTAATAATAACACGTTTTCGTCGTCGAATGTCAACCGTTCGATTAATTTTATTTAAATAATTCATAGGCATATTGTCCGGAACGTTCAGCGACGACGCGTTTAGTCGATATCGCGCGATTGTGAAAAGTCACAACATTGTCATTTAAAATTCAAAAGCACGGATAGATTCCTTAGAACACGCCTAATCGGAAAATAATACAATACGCAGAGAAAGAAAAAAACATACATCGCACTGCGGCTTCGGTAACGCGTTTTCGTCTGTTCCGCGCGGTGGTACGTACACGCCGATAGTACGGTGCGAACGAAAATCGACCGGCCGAAGTGATCACACAAAAATGGAAAAGAAAAAAATTACAATAATAATATTATTCATAATAGGTACTAATACAATGATAATAACGTTAAAATCACAGGTAACCCCCACTTCATAAATCGCAATGGAAAAAAGACAAGAGCGATATTAAAAAAAAAAAAAAATTGTATAAAAAAAAAAAAAAAAAAAAAAAAAACAATGACATCCGTATGAGGTACCGTACTGCGTCTACCCGTTTAGGTGATCGACGCGACAACTGATGTGTCGGCCGCGGTACGGCCACTGGCAGGACGCAGTGGTCAGTCAACGGTGGCCGCAATTGCGCTACCTCCATTCGGCCGTGACGGTGTCGTAATACGAAGCGGGGGATTTGTTTCAATAGGCCGCGGTACCGTGATGGTGATGGGCCATCAGCGACGTGTGGTGATGCGGGTGATGGTGGTGATGGTGGTGGTTCAGGTCGGTCAGATAGTGGTGACCGTGGTCGACGGACGACGGTTGGATGGACGGCGTGCCGGATCCGGCGCTCATGTACCTGTGGACAGAATGAAAAAAAAAAAACGGTCATTGCGTGTCTCATAATACGTAATTTAATATTATTTATTTTATATTTAATAGTATATTTTTATATTATATCAACGACAAGTGGTAATCGGATCGATAAATAAATCTAAAATCATATTATAAATCATCGTCACCGATGGCGACGAAAGCGAATCAACGGTGCGCGTTTGTATATACGTGTACGCTCTCGTTGTCGGGACGAGTGGAACACGTGCGCGTCTCGGAGACTTAACCGCGGGAGCCGAGTAGGTTTTTTCGCTCAAAACCACGTCGCTGATAGCGCAGCGCTCGAAGCCTACGTCGTCGGGGACACGGCAACACGACAATAGACAGTAGAAATATCGCGTTTACTATAGTTTGAAAAAATCAGGTCGTAGAAACACGTTTAACGATTCGGAGTCGAGAAAGAATACCTCTAGCTTGTTCGACGGGAAAAATCAAATAATACCATCAACTATATTATTGTTGGTAGAAAACGTGCAATAAACAAGATTTCGAATCGGTTCGCGTTTTCTATTTTTAGCCGGTCTCGTTTGTTAAACTATCGGCGAAAACACGCTCCCGAACTTCCGGTGCCTACTCTGGAAAACACGGAGAGGTTTTTTTTTCGCGCAATACAATTGTTGTGATGTCGGTCGTAAAATTGTTTACGTCCTCCCGTTTATTCTTGTGATTTTTTTTTTTTTTTTTTTTTTTTTTTTTTTGTTGATTGTGCTGAATATAAATATATCCGAAAACAAGTTCATTAACATACACCCTGAAGTTTCCGAACAGAGCGCATTAAGGGGACAAACATACAAGGTCGAAGAGGGAGTGCGAAAATCGTGCTTACCAGTCGGATGGTGGCGGCGTGGGCAGTGGCAGCGCGGAGGTGGCCGTCGGATGTAGGACGGATGGCGTTTGAGCGCCGTGGTGGTCGCCGGGTGACACGACGCTGGGTGTCGCGGTCGTGCAACTATCGGTCACCCTGATAGATCCGCCGGACGAGCAGTTCGAGTCTTCCGAGTCGTAGTTGCCGTCGCTATCCAGCTTTCCGTTACCGTGTACCTGCGAGAAAACGAGCGAGTTGTAACATTGAGTTTTAACAGTGCTTTTAGAGGATTATACGGAAACGAAAAGAGAAATCAATGAAAAATAATAGGGGGAGAGAGAGAAAAACAAAAAAAAGAGAGAGGGTTAGTGAGAGCAATCACGTCAAGTACCTTCATGTGCTTCCTCAAGGAACTGGGATGAGTGTACGATTTATCACAGCCAGATATCCTACAGTTGTAGGGCTTGTCTGAAGTGTGCACGTGCGAGTGTTTTTTCCTGTCCGAACTGTTGGCGAACCTCCGGTCACATCCTTCGTACTCACATTTAAACGGTTTCTCGCCTGTAAAAACACACAAAAAAAATGCCGTCAATATCATCAGATTGTATTATTATTCGAGAACATATTGTATTGAATTTATTTGATTTTTTTTTTTTTTTTTTTGTTGGTGCGTTTACATATAATATACGTGCGCGCGTAGCCTATAAACAAAATCACAAGGTGATACGCGATTCCTTGGCACACACAAAATCCATACGAGTATTATATTCGAGAACTGTCACGCACAATGTGTGTGCCTTCACGATAAATTACAGGATAAATACTACGGTATATGAATATGCGTACACACATATATATATATATTTATACTTCTTCGCGTAAAGCGTGCTTTTATCGATTTCGTTTCGACGGTAATAGTCGTGGTGGAATTTTTCTCCGGACAAAGCGACCCAGTAAATTACTTATTATTCAATACCCATATAATGGACGGACGCAAGGGGAAAAAAAGGTCGTTTAGAAACCTTGAAGATTTTAGGTCGAGACCCTTTTTTTCTCGTCTGGTGGTCAACGGTGTGTAGTTAGGTTACTCCTGGAGTTTAACCTTACATTCACTTGTGTTACTCAGATAGTCCATAAATCGTGTCCTTAAGTGATGTGGGAACTTACAAAAGGCCTTTATCAACGCAACCCGTATCGAATCGTCGATTTCTACCAGAGAAAACGAAAAAAAATGAAGATTGTTCTGTTTTTATTACGAAGACTCGACTTCGTGTAATGTCTGTTATACTGACACTAACGCTGACGAATGCGTCCTTGGTCCGCAGGATAGCACATTACCGAGCATTCGCATTCGTTGGTCAGGTAGTTAGATACATACGAACCCGATTACATATTATATTATACGTTTATAAAGAGATATAGATAAATGTTTCCATTCAAACGTTTTTCGTGGCGCGTATTTCTCGTCGCAGAAACACGTCGTACATACAACGGTCGATGCGACACAATATGTATTACATATGTGAGTGCACAACAATACACGATTCCGACGCGACATCGAATACGACTACGGGAGGTCAGACCCGTCGACTTATCGACGTTTCCCGCCTTTACTTTAAACGATATTCTATTTATAAACTCATCGTCGCGCGTAGTCCGCACAATGTCGACAGTTTTTTTAATTTACTCCGAGACGACGCGTTCTCCGGTGCCCCATCCGTGATCCCACGATTCAAACTCGATTGGAGTGTACGACTGTCACACGGTGATGCGATCGGATACGTATATAAATGTGTGTGTGTGTGTGTGTGTGTACGTATGGGTATATACACATACACACGCCACGCGACCTCTTTTACGGTAACTTGTACGCGATGCGCGTACACATTATTTACGTTATTGTTATCCGTAGCAAATATCCCCTCGCCATCGACACCGTACCTCCTGTCCTTGACAGTTGAAAAGGAGTTGAAAGCTCGTTATCGACGACGATCGGCTGCAATAATTGACGTCATGTGTAATGTACGTTTATTTTTCTAGACGGATTCACACCTCGGTCGCACCGGGCCCTCTTACGGCGACGTGCGTACAAGTGTATTCATACGGGGCGAGGGAGGTATAGCTGACCCCGCGGTACGATTTCTGTCTCTTTCGAACAGTTGCGCGAGCTCATAACGCGGAGAAAAGCACCGGATCCGTGTTTTCATCGTACTCGCACGACTTACACCAATCGCCTGTTCGGAAATGATCGCAAAGTTCTTGTGTATCACTTATCTCCCAGCATACGGTTCGGTTCTTATCCGTCCTGTCAATAGGTCCAATGAGGAGGACTCTTTCGAACGCCGCAGTATTGCGAATCTTACGGTCTGAGTCGTTAAACATTTCGCACATGGATACACACCCGTATGTATACATTATACGATGAAAATGCGTGTTCGTATAGGGGATGGAATCGACGTTAAGACAATACGTCGGTTCAACAGGTCGTTGAATATTTAAAGGAAAAAAACCCGAAAACTAGTATAGGTAGTGTTTTTTCGACTACGAGCGCACACCAGTATACTATTACCTATTGTTATTATTTTGACAGTAAAACTAAATGTCTACATCGGGCGGGCATTGCGCGTTTTACACGATGCTCGTCCATTGCTACCTCCTACGCGCGGCAGCCGGTGTTAATATCGTTCTCGGTAACACATTTATATTTAAATGACAAGTCGAACGGCCGAATATCAATACTCGTGACTTCGTGGGGATGCGAACGCAATAACAATACGACCGGCGCTAAGTCGCGACTCTCGTCGTCGTCGTCGTCGTTATACAATAATCGATTAGTGACACATATAATAATATTATAACAGCGATGTTTTCGCATTTAACGACTCCGGTTAGTCCGTATACAGCCCGTCCTCGACGTGCGCTGTGTATACGTGTACGTATAAACGAGCCGAAGATGAGTGTTTTAACGATTTACATATGTTACACTATACAATAGACTGGAATGCAATAAAAATTTACGTGTGTGTATATTATATTATATATGTACGTCGTCGTCGTCAAAAGATAAGTATAATAAAAAAAAGAAAGAAAAAAATCTTCGTTTTCCTCGTTCTTCGTATCGTATATGCGCGCACACACACACATTTATATTTATATACTCCTCATTTCATAAATTGGGTGGCATTTCCAAGGACTCTTAATTTTTAATGAGTTATTTAAAAAAGGACAACTAAACGGGTTTATGACTTATGGGTTTGAAAATATAATAATAATGAAAACAACGTGGAAACGTATTATGTTACGTTGATGTACAAACGAACGGACGCTCGTCCCCAGAATACTGTGTGTGCCCACTCACTCATTCGCTGCTGCTGCCGCTGCCGCCGCCGCAGATATTACATGTTATCTGCCGGATAGGATTCTGTCGTGATTGGTATGAAACGTTTTCCGAAACAGAAGAAGGTTTAACTACGGCGTAGGCGAACGGGGAAAACGATATTGCGTGTACAAGGATAAAAAATAAACTAACGTCCACGCGCACGGAACGAATACTCGTATTATCTGTGAACTCCCAGCGTCGTAATGTGCAACAAAAGTGACGTTTGTCCGGATATTTTCCCGGCCAGTGAAAGAGTCGCAACTACTGCAGCTGCGGTCGCGCGACGTTGTAACGTTATGCCCCGTTGTACCTGTGTGCGCGGCAACGGTCAGATGTGCACCAGTAAGGGTCAAACGAATGCAAACCATATTTTGTACGTGCGCAACGGTCAAGTATTACAATGAAAATCCGCATCGATTGTGTAGTGGTGGTGGTGGTGGGCACCCGCGGGCGTGTTAAAAATAATAATATATACGCGCGCGCACGTTGTACACAACCCAACACTTATGGTATCGCAATGGATCTGAAACGATTATTTATTTTTTATTTCATACGGTGTGCTATGATTACGATATTTTTGTTGTTTTACTTTTACAAAACGCTGTATTGTCATCGCCGTAATGATCCGCGTCGTATCTAACACGCATCGGACGCGATTTATTCCGCGCTCTTGGATGCATCAACTCGTAAGCCCGATCCGGATAGCCGTCCGGTGATAGGAAATTCGAGGGTATAACGTGGCCGACGAACAATAGGGTTTTAGAAGCGTCGTAAAAAGTTGAGGTACGATACGCGTGCGGATTCGGTAAGCGCGCGGTCACCGACCTTAGTGCTATTGTTTCGTCATGTGTACGAACGTAATATTCTGTCGGGATCAGCGCGAAGAGCACGAAGACGGAATCTGATCCGTTGATCCACGAAATCGCCATCCAGGACCTGTGTATACTGCGACGCACTCTAGACGTAGCGCAACAACCGAAGCGCGTATTCTTCAGATCTCGTTCAACAGTCACAAAAATCGTGACTTACGCACATACGGATATGGAAAAATGGTGCACCACATCGATGCTGCGCGAGGAACATTTGAATGGATTTTCAAAAAGTATAGGATTAACTTTAAACGCAGATTACGTCACGGGCTACGAACACATAAAATGTGGAGCACGTAGTGCAGCGAATCGCAAATTTTTCGGCCCTGTCATCGTTTTTATATTATACGTTGTGTACAAGATACGTTGACGGCGAGTAAACACTTTGGTGGAAAACGAATACGAAACACCGTCGACGACAAAGTCAATCCATATCTGTCAGATACGCGTTGATCTATATATATATTTATATGCACGTGGGTGCGCCGTGTGTGTATTTATCGTAGACGCGCATGCGTACGAATTCACCGTACCTATACGTATTTGTGTGTACACGAACAGCTGGACAATGAAGTGCACATCTGCCGGACGGAAGCGTCGCGATGACCAATGACTCTGGAGAAGAGGACCATTACAAAGGATCGCTACTTAATAAAATCCCTATTGAATATGTCTGTGCGCTGCTCCGTGCGTGTATACGTATACGGAGCCCGATAGGACTCTAAGGTGCCGAACGATTCGACAGAAAAGAAATACCCACCCGGTGTTAAATTGTAACGGGGGCCGGCACCTTCGCGACGGGACGTCTTTGTGACGCGACGCGTATATGTGCGTGTCTCGATCATAAATATTGCACGCACGGGACACATATTTTTCTTTTTATTCTTCAATTTTAGGTTTCCTAGTAAATTTTTTTTCCTTATTCCGAAAACGCTCGGTAAGCAAAACAACAATAATAATAATATATCGTGTACGTATTATATAATGTGCTGTAATGTAGGCTCATCCTTTTGCACGCACGCGTCCAGAGCATTTTTAGACCACACGCAACGGCGACGAGATACGTACATACAGATTAAGAAAACAATCATCATATGGAGTATCGATCTACACTGTGTGTTATATATACAATGTATACGTCGGACACGAAACTGCCTTACCGTTCCATACGGCTGCTGGCGTTCGACGTCCCGTTTTAACGATTGGTTGCAGACCAATGCATCAAGAGACAAGGGAGGGAGGATCAATGATGAGGTTTTCGAATTCAGGTCGTAGATTCTCTCAATGACATAAAATAATTCATTTACGATTAT